ATGTACTTTGGGGCTAGTTCCCTTGCTTGACCTTTAGGCAGGGAGAGGTTCTCAGTGGATAAGTATATGAGATCCCCCTTTACAAACAGGGATTCTGTCCATCTCTGGTTAGCCGTCGCAGTGTTCTTCACCCATGCTGCAATTATCGAGTTGTGCGCACTCATAATAGCATCTTTCATCCATTGAGCAAACACGTGGACTCCAGGGAACTCAGAGTTGGTGTTCCAGATGAAAGGAGGGGGTAAGTGACCGTAGTTAAGTACAAACAGAGGGTACTTAGTGGTTCCGGAGCATGCTGAATTGATAGCAAACTCAATTTCCAGGAGTTTGATTGCCCAGTCGCATTGGTTCGGTGAGACTATTTGTCGGAGCATCTGGGTTATTGTCTGGTTGGCTCGTTCTGTCACACCATCTGATTGCAGGTGAAATGAGGTGGACATCCTAAGTTCTACACGAGTGAGTTGGTGTAGGCATTGCCAGAACATGCTGGTGAACAGAGTATCCTGGTTGCTGACAATATTTGAAGGCATACCGTGGTGTTTATAGACCAGGTTGAACATGACCTCAGCTATGTCCTTAGTGTGGTAGGTCTGCTTAGTAGCCACTAGGTGTACCATAGACATTAGATGGTCAATGGTTACCATAATCATGTTGAACACACCATGAAGTGTCTTGGATTCTGGTAGTGGTCCTACAAAATCCATGCCTACCGTCTCCCAGGGGCATGATGGTACCTCTAATGTTTCCAGTAGTCTGTTATGAACTCAGATGGAGTCTCTGTAACTGCCTCAATAAAGAGGATCAAGAGTACAGTGTTCAAGACGACCAAGGGTAGAACCTTGGCGAGATCAGATTCAAGAGGCACCCGCAGGCCTGTTCAGAGAATCAAGTGAAGCGAGAACCGAGTAGATTCAAGTTAAGGAATACAAGTCAAGGAACTAGGGTTTATATACATAAGAGAAGGGTGCACGGACCAAGGGAAGAGCATTCTAGTAAGTACAAGAAAGGGAACAGGGTAAAGGGGAAAAGATAGGAGTCTTCATGGAGTCCTCATGTGCTATATGAGTTATGCTAGAAGTAAGATGGCAATCAAGAAGTAGAAACATGTGTCCAAGGTGAGGCAAAGATGGGGAAAATGAATAGCCTGCTGTAACATAGTCCGTAAGGTTGGTGATTAGGAGTTTTGGAAACTTGGCACGTAGGGCATGACTTACAAAATGCCTGAATGTCTGCTGCCATACTCTTCCACCAAACACTGTCCCGAAGGTACAGAAGCATCTTTGAGGGGCCTAGGTGGGCGAGGATTGAGTGAGCGTGAGATATAACAATCTCTCTAGCTCTTCTTGGTCCAACCTTGATATCTGGTATGCACAGTGTCCGTCTTTCGCCGCTCTTAAGAAATATCTGGTCATTACTCACTTCAAAGTTCTTGAAGTTCCCAGGGTGCTCTATTACCTTTGCAAAGAAAGGGTCTTTGCTGTTCTGGTCCACTACCAACTCGTAATTCGAGTTTCAGATCCCTGAGGCTAATTATCTCGGGAATGGTGGGTGGAGGCTTAGGGTGAGAGTTGGCTGGCTTTAATGTGCAGTGTTCGGATTCAGCGTGTTGTGGGTCCCCATTTGGTCTGCTTATTTCAACGGGTGCACTGATGTGGTCAGGTGATTGCCCAGACCTTTTGTCTATGATGTCACAGTCTATGTTGGTTGACTGTGGGTGCTTGTTTGACAACTTCTGTGTCTTCTCCTTTTCATGCTTGTTGTTTGTCATGGCTACTGACCCACCCTCCAGTAATTCTGGTGGGGGTTTACTCAACTTTAGAGTCACTTTTTTTATGCGCGAGCTAGGTGAGCTGCTTCCTTGTGAACTGGACCGTTTTGTGGTGCCTTGTGACTTACTTAGTCTAGCTGGGCCACTGTTACCTGTCACTGCTGTAGGCAGGGTGGTACAGGTCTCACTTCCCTGGATGCTGACCAGTGGGTCGACAGCGCCAGGGACTTCAGTGGGGTTGCTGCTGATGGTATGTTTGAGCGACCTTGTGTCGTTCACATTGTGGTCTTTGCTGACAGCCTGTTTGAGCGACCTTGTGTCGTTCAAGTTGTGGTCCATGCTGATGGCATGTTTGAGTGACCTCGTGTTGTGCAAGCTGTGGTCCATGTTTGAGCAACCTTGTGTCATCCATGTTGTGCCTGTGTACTAGCTTCTTGGCCAGTTGTGCTGACCGTCAGTTTTCTGTAGCTTCAAGGAATAAGGGGGTTCCGGTGTAGACTGGGGCAGTTACAAAGTTGAGGAGGAGGCTGCTAGGTATGTCATCTTCCTCAGCACCGACATACTCACTTGGGGCTCTAACCATGCCTTTAGGTTCATTGCTATACAGGCGGGACAAGGCATCTGCAAGGGTGTTCTCTACCCAGGGAAGGTAAGTGATGCTGAAGTTAAACTCGCTCGATGATTCTAACCATTGTGCTTGGCATGGGGACAAGTGGTCAGCCACTCTAGGCCTTTATGGTCCATGAAGATGCAGAACGGGACACCAATGAGTAAGTGTCGGAATTGCTTCAAGGATTTGACGATCGCTAATAGTTCCTGCTCATGCACAGGATAATTCTGTTGAGCAGAGTTAAACTTGCCAGACCAGAACACAATCACACTGATGTGCTGTACCAGGTCACCTTGAGACAGGATGCCACTGGCACCAGTGAACGAGGCGTCAGTGACAAGGTTCATAGGACTAGAACCATTGAGGGCATGAGGGAAGTCCAGTGCCTTACGTTTGACATCACGATGAGAATTGACACAGTCTCAGACTAGGTCAAACACACGCTGGTCAGTGGCAGTCCATTCCCACTTGGTCATCTTGGTGGCTATTTTTGATAGGTGCTGCATGTGGATGCAAACTCCTTCACACCCTGGGGCTAGGTAGCCTACTGATCCGATGAACTGCATAAGCAGTTCTTTTGAGGTAGGTGTTTTCCAATGCAGGATTTTGTCGACCTTATGTGGGTCTAGGCAAATCCCCTTATGGTCTATGACATGCCCGAGTATAGTGAGTTTGTCCTTAAAGAATTGCAGCTTGTGTTCACTAAGGTAGAAATGATTTTCCCTCAAGGTGTCTATCATGCACTTAATGTGAGTCACGTGGTCTTTGGCACTGTCAGAGTAGACGATGATATCATTTAAGTATACATCCATGAAAATGCCGATGAATGGGCCAAAAATGTGATTCATCAGTAACTGGTACGTGGCTCCAGCATTACAATCACCTATTTGCATAATGTGACTGATCATCGTTCCGTCTGGTGTAGCAAATAAGGATTTAGGTACATCCTCTGGGACTATCCTAATTTGTTTGTATGCATCCTTACCATCAAGCAGGGACTGGAATGGGTGAGACGTGACATTGCATAAGATGATCTCTATGTCAGGCAACGGTGAGGCAAGTTTCTGGGAGTTCTTATTCCTCTGTCTAGTGTCCAACATGGTGCGAAGCCACAGTTCACCATCTTTGGTGGCTTTGCACATCATGATCATCAGAACCACATTAGTACCACTGTAGAATTCCCATCATCTGGATTTTAGGTAGTCATTGCACTTCTTTCGCCACAATGGTTGCAATGCCTCAGGAGACTTAGATTGACACCAAGGATAGGTGTGGCTCTCATCAATGAGTGGTATGATGTGGTTGATGGCCTGCAGGGGCGGTAGAGGTGTGTCAACCACATCCTTGCAGATCCCACGAGCATACTGACAAAGTTCTTTGACGTATAACTCGATTGTGCAGGCTGTGACATTCAGCTCCCTAAGTTCGAGGATCTGAATCTGGGCACCACAAATTGGTAGGGCGTCTATGTTACAAGAACATCTAGACGCTTGGGCCCCTACTATTTTTCTCCTGATCCTCCTCGTATCAGCCCTCGCATGATACCCTTACCCCGACCTTACCCTTGTCATCCTCGTCATCCTCGCATTCCCTTTCGCCCTCTACCTGTCGCTTCAGCAAAGCCAGTACATATGGCCGGATCCTTTCGCTGACGAAGCATACCCATGCTCCGTTTCACCACCTGACTGATCCTGCGGACAGTCCCCTTGCCCTTACCGTCTGGACGGTAACCTATGATATGATGCACGACGCATCTCCTTTGCCCGGTTCCCTTTTATGATCTCTGACTCGGTGCGCAGTCGCACATGCGACTTATACTTAGATCCGCAGTTGCACGATCGTGCCCCTGCGCGTTTCACTTCTTATTTCGATCTTTGACTCACTCTCTTATCTAGCACGTTCTACCCAGACCGAACGTGCCTTCCTGTTATGGTCTTACCCTTTACCGATTGCCTCTCCCGGTAGTACGAGTTATCATCCACTAATACGTTTCCTGTCCTCTATATAAACTCGCTACCATGTACTATATTCCCTAACTTGAATCTACTTGGTTCTTGACCTCCTACTCTCACCAGAGTGATCCTTCTGCCTCGCCAGCAGTCTATATTCTATCTTCTTATCTGCTCCTCGCGGATAAGCCTATAGTCTCGATCTTTACTCATCGACTTCGTCGACGAGCAAAGCCCCTGTTAACTAGTCGGACTTCCGTCCTTCTAATTAACGACGATCCTTACGATTAACCTTCGGGTGTCGTAAGCCTAGGCCGATATAGCTTATCGTCTTGCACCCGCGTGACATAAGCTACCTGATTTGGACATAGGCGTTAAATCGTACTTGCCGAAGACACGCCAAGTACGACCCCTAACCTTGGGCTAGCCCAAGGACGTCCACAGACCGTTGACGACACAAGCTCTGTTTGAGCGTCGCCAACAGATACCATCCAAGTCGTAACAGTCTATACTACGGATCTTTATCTCTGATGGGTTGAAGCCAAGTAAGACTTGGTGCTGAAACAGGAAGGGCATGCCTAGAATGACGTCATAGGACTCTAGGTTAGCAATATTGAAGGTGCGTGGACCTTTAGTTTCCTGGTACTCAAATTCAGCTGTTGTAGTAGCTTTGATGGCACTTCTGGACCCAGATACAGCCAATTGGAGAGGTATGGGCTTCTCTAGCATCATATACTTTAGTTTTAATTGATCCACCATTGTACTAGATACAAAGTCTGCTAACGACCCAGAATCTATAAGTGCTCTGCATGGTTTCCCATTGAGGAGAACAGCGACGACAATCAACTTAGGGAGAATATGGGCGGAAGACTTTGGTCTGGCTGCCTGTCTATGGAGAGAACACAAGTCAGGTAAGTCAGCCTTAGTATGGTTAACCATGCCAAAAAAGAGCTCACTTGTAGGTTTCACCTCCTCTTCGTCACTCAACTCGCAAGTTTTGAGACCAGGCAGGTCGTCAAATGACGTAGAGTCAGGGTGTTGTTGATATCATCTCCAAAATCACTACTTCCCCACTCCGAGGTAACCCAGGACGAGGAGTCGGAGTCCTCTGCCTCACTGGGATCAAGCCATGGCGCTGTAGTGATTGGGCCTGGCGAGGTAGGTTGTAGTGATGTTTTGGTGCGGTGAAGATGAGGAATATAAATTGTGCGGAAAGTTCGTTGTAGCGATGGTCGCAGTGTTGGGCTCAAAACCACGTATTTCCATACTCACGTCTGTTACAAGAACATCTAGACGCTTGGGCCCCTACTATTTTTCTCCTCATCCTCCTCATATCAGCCCTCGCATCATACCCTTACCCTGACCTCACCCTTGTCATCCTCGTCATCCTCGCATTCCCTTTCGCCCTCTACTTGTTGCTCCAGCAAAGCCAGTACATCTGGCCGGACCCTTTCGCTGACGAAGCATACCCATGCTCCGTTCCTCCACCTGACTGATCCTGTGGACAGTCCCTTTGCCCTTACCGTCCGGACGGTAACCTATGATCTGATGCACGACGCATCCCCTTTGCCCTTTTCCCTTTCTTGATCTCTGACTCGGTGCGCAGTCGCACATGCGACTTATACTTAGATCCGCAGCTGCACGATCGTGCCCCTGCGCGTTTCACTTTTTATTTCGATCTTTGACTCACTTTCTTATCTAGCACGTTCTACCTCGACCGAACGTGCCTTCCTGTTATGGTTATACCCTTTACTGATTGCCTCTCCCAGTAGTACAAGTTATCACCCACTAATATGTCTCCTGTCCTCTATATAAACTCACTACCATGTACTATATTCCCTAACTTGAATCTACTTGGTTCTTGACCTCCTACTCTCACCAGAGTGATCCTTTCTGCCTCGCCAGCAGTCTATATTCTATCTTCTTATCTGCTCTTCGCGGATAAGCCTATAGTCTCGATCTTTACTCATCGACTTCGTCGACGAGCAAAGCCCCTGTTAACTAGTCGGACTTCTGTCCTTCTAATTAACGACGATCTTACGATTAACCTTCGGGTGTCATAAGCCTAGGCCGATATAGCTTATCGTCTCGCATCTGCTTGATATAAGCTACCTGATTTGGACATAGGCGTCAAATCTTACTTGCCGAAGCCTCGCCAAGTAAGACCCCTAACCTTGGGCAAGCCCAAGGACGTCCTCGACCGTTGACAACATACGCTCTGTTTGAGCGTCGCCAACAGATACCATCCAAGTCGTAACAACGTCAACACCTGAAACATATGCGCACATGTCCGACGCACTTTCGCACATGTCCGAGCCACTCCATATCAGATCCGGCGCATCGGACCTTCGGACATCGCATCGGCCGATCACACTTCACGCACACTTTTCCATCCCATGTCTTGTCCATCCGAACTAGCCTCACTAGGTGCGTAGTCATTCCTGTGCACATTTTCTGACATTCGGACTGCGTTATTACATGTTCACAGCACCTCGTGTCTTATTACATAGGACATCGGACCCGAAATATATTGCTACTATCTTCGCCTGTAGTACTCCAAATTTCTATGTACTTACTTAAATACTCTGTAGTGACCCATAGTAATCATCATCCAGTAGTTAGGAGCTGTTTCCCGACTCTGCGGATCACCCAGAATATTCTCGTAGTTCTTAGTTGCATTGCGAAATATTACCATTCGTTCACCGTCATACTCCGTCACTCGTTATACTTGTGCATACCGCTCGCAACCCGATACTCATTATAAAGTTTCCGACTCATTATTGTGAAGTCCGAAAGTCCGAAATCTCGGACATTGCACTTTGGCTTCGGACATTGGATAAGTACCTTCGGACATCATCGGATTACCTTCAGACATCGTTTCGCACCATCGGACATTTTGTTATTTGCATTACTGACACATTTTTACTACTAATACCAATTAGCAATCCCTTTAGGATTGAACGCACTTGCTCTGCAAGTATAGCAGCATAGGTTGTGCTAAGATCTACCTAAATATTTGTTGTCTAGGTAGTACGATTTCTGCTGAGCCCAGCAGAAATCAGCTTTCTACACCGGCCCCAGGCCAGGCTGCTCTTCATAGGGCTATGCAGGACCAATTTGAGAAGATCGCAGGCACATAATTTGTCCTTGTTCATTTTGCTAGCTAGATGCGGGAAAATTGTCACGTGATACATGATATTCACAATACGATCTGATCAAGTCCAGTGACCCTCTCTCGAGCTCCTAATACTACCATCAAACATGCCTGCAACACAGAAGAAGTCCAAAAAGACGCATCTCCAGCTTTTGGCTGAGCATATGACCCAACTGCAGCAGGAGATCAGCTCATTACAGCATGAGATGACAGTGAGTTTTGCATGCTGCCTTATGACATGTGTTTGCAGGAAAGCAAAAAAAGCCTCATTGTGGGACAGACTCACTGCCCAAGCCCAAACAATTGATCCCAAAGCCACCTGGGACTGCTGGTAAGCGTAATGGATACTCAGTGCAGCATGCAATGGGTCTAGGGAATGATAAGCGGCAGTACAATGCCCTAATGGTGACTATATGCTGACTATATGCACACAGAAACATGTCTGAGTGAGCCTGGCTGACATTCTGACTTAAGGCATCTACAAGACATTTATGTAGAACACATTTGGACCTTAACAAGACACACCACGGACAGGACAATAATGAGATCTGCATTGTTGTAGTGAAGGTGAGTCGCATATAAGACTTGACATATCTTAATAGACTGACTTTGTATAGGTACAGAAAAAACACCTGATTTTACTCAAGTTTGCGAATGTATGGCCAGTCCACACCTGGATCCAGCAATACTTCTGCAACTATAACAATGACCAAAAAAATTGATTGTATACTGTCCATGTTGTAAGCATTTCCGTAGTTTACCCCTTTCATAAATGCACTAACTGTACCTGCGCAGCCCCAGGATTATGACAGCGGGGAGAATGAGGACAATGACATGGACACCAACAATGATGCGGACACTGACAATGATGCGGACACCGACAATGACACTGACAATGATGTGAATGCAGATGTGGACGATGATGCAAACATGGACAATAATGCAAATGTGGACATGAACAATGACGTGGATGCAAATGATGATGCGGACAATGACATGGACAATGATGTGGATGCAAACGATGATGCAGACAATGACATGAATAATGATGCAGATGATGATGCAGACAATGACACGAATGTGGACACAGACAATGAAGTGGATGTGGATGATGATGCAGACAATGATGCAGACACGAACAAGGACCAGGATGAAGACCAGGATAAAACCCTGACTAACGACGGTGTTCAGGACCAGGGCACAGCCAACAGGAGGCCAGCAACCAGGAACAAGGCCACAAGCAGGTGGAGATCAGTCCATTTGATAAACATGTTCCTCCCCACCTACTCAACCTATCAAAGAAACGAAAGACGGTCACATCATCAGACATCAAGGAAGCCGAACCTATTCAACCCCCACCTCAAAAGAGCAGGTAACGATACCCACTGTCAATGAGGACCTCCCAACTGTCTGTCTGAGTGATGGGTGCGATGACACTATGCCCTCACATCCTTCAGGAATAATCCTTGTGAAGTACAAAGCATATTGACGCTGCTTACAGATGCCACGTGGCGAATTCACACGTCAGACACTCAAGCTCAAGATGGAACTCTGTGCTGCCATCCAGAGCAACCTGCAGTACAACAGGCACCTTCAAAGTGCTCATGATAACAGATGGCTATCTGAGATCAATCACTTTGCTGTGCATCACTCTGTTTTGAAGCTCGAACCTGATCTCCTTCGACTAATCTTTGATAGAACTGTGAAGGATGAATGCTTTATTTACCAGACTCTTCTTACCGATCTACTTGAACAGGGCTATGGAGTCAAGCTTGACAAATGATTGGCTTTTCTTACATGCCTGAAGATATTTGAAGTTGGACGCCCAATTTTCAACAAGGCACAGCCTGGATAGTGAGTCCTGATGCACTCTTGTGACATTATACTAATGATCCACAGCTACGGTCTGTTACAAGAACATCTAGACACTTGGGCCCCTACCATTTTTCTCCTTATCCTCCTCGTCTCCGCCCTTGCATCACACCCTTACCCCAACCTTGCTCTTGTTATCCTCATCATCCTCCCATTCCCCTTCACCCTCCACCTGTTGCTCCAGCAGAGCCAGTACATTTGGCCAGATCCTTTCTCTGACGAAACATACCCATGCTCCGTTCCACCCGTTGACCGATCCTGTGGACAGTCCCCTTGACCCTTACCATCCGGACGGTAACCTATGATATGATGCATGCCGCATCCCCTTTGCCCTTTTTCCTTTCTTGATCTATAACTTGGTATGCAATCACACATTGTACTTACACTTAGCTGCACAGTTGCACAATCGTGCCCCTGCTTGTTTCACTTCCTGTTTCTGTTCTTTGACTCATTTCTTATCTGCATGTTCTGGTTTTCCTATGACTCACCTTGAACGTGCCTTCCTTTTCTAGTATCACCCTTTGACCAGTTCCCCTTCCGGTAGTACGAGTTATCATCCACTAATACGCTTCCTCTCCTCTATATAAACTCGCTACCATGTATCTAGTTCCTTAACTTGAATCTACTTGGTTCTTGACCTCCTACTCCTAACAAGAGTGATTCCTTCTGCCTAGCCAGCAGTCTATATTCTACTTTCTTATTTGCTCATTGCGGATAAGTCTTTAGTCTCAATCTTTACTCATCAACTTCGTCGACGAGCAAAGCCCCTGTTAACTAGTCGGACTTCTGTCCTTCTATTAACACAGATCTTACAATTAACCTTCGGGTGTTGTAAGCCTTGGCAGATACACTTATCATTGAGCCCCACTTGACATAAGCTACCTGATTTAGACATAGGCGTTAAATCTTACTTGCCGAAGCTTTGCCAAGTAAGACCCCTAACCTTGGGCTAGCCCAGGGACATCCTCAACCGTTGATGACACATGCTCTGTTTGAGCGTCATCAACAGATACTATCCAAGTCCATAACACAGTCCAAAAGGCAGTGCAGTCTTTTGCGCAACCATCAACCAGTTATTTGACCCACAGGAAGGAATACCTACCAATGCCTTCGCCCCACTATCATATAAACAATATACATACTTTATTCTCATCCCTTACATAGCCAGCTGACGATCAGAGGTTTCTGGATGATCAACCATGCACACCTCAGCAGACATTCGAGCTTATGGTGGCTAGTGCGGATGCTGGTGATGCACTCCAGGGTATTGACAAAGAAGGGAAGGATGAGCAATTTGACAACATCCTTATGAAGATCATGTTGAAACAGGTGACAGAGGTAGACTATTTGCCAGCAGCACCGCAGCCAACAGCCCTGGCACCTCCAAATCAGCAGGGGAAAGGACAAAAAAAAGGTATGTCTGATAATTTCTTACTTTAGCGAGTCTTCACTTTGTACTAGGCAAACAGGAAGGGTACAGCCACAACTAATTCTGCTTGCCAGCAAAGTACTTGCCTAATGAGTTGATGTGCATAACAATAGTCAGTCAGATACTTACTTTTCAACAGCTTGATCAGACTTTGTCCCAGCATTAACAGAATTTGTGGTGCCACTTCGCTATACCTGTGCTCTTGAACCTTGCTGGTGTTCCTGTTGTTATACTAGTTGCGATTGATACAGCTTCATTTTGCTGTAAGTTCATTAACTAATGTAATTCAGCGCTTTGTTCCATTAGCTTGGTGTGAATATCAGAGCATAATTCCAATACATTTTCAGAGCAGTATTCCAGTGTATTATTTCAGAACATAGATTCAGAGTACAAATTCAGAGTATCATTTCAGAGCATAGATTCAGAGTAAAATTTCAGAGTAAAAAATGGCAATATCAGCACCTCAATTTCAGTACCTAATGATATGAGTTTTTGATACTCGATTACGTAGCGAGGCACGAGCATAGAACTAGAGTTAGGTCTTTGCGCAAGCGTCGGGAGCAGTACAAACCTTCTTCGTACTGCGACCACGCACCCTCAGATCGTTTCAGTTGTCCTCAATGATGTTGCCTTTCGTCCTTTCTTTTCCTTCATGTCATCAACTGCATTAGAACAAACTCGCTTTGTTTTTTCTACCTCTCAGACTTAGGCACAATGGAGCGCATCACAACAGACCCTGCTGTTACAAGAACATCTAGACGCTTGGGCCCCTACCATTTTTCTCCTAATCCTCCTCGTATCAGCCCTCGCGTCATACCCTTACCCCGACCTTACCCTTGTCATCCTCGTCATCCTCGCATTCCCTTTCACTCTCTACCTGTCGCTTCAGCAGAGCCAGTACATCTGGCCGGATCCTTTCGCTGACGAAGCATACCCATGCTCCGTTCCACCACCTGACTGATCCTGTGGACAGTCCCATTGCCCTTACCGTCTGGACGGTAACCTATGATATGATGCACGTCGCATCCCCTCTGCCCTGTTTCCTTTCTTGTTCTCTGACTCGATGCGCAGTCGCACATGCGACTTATACTTAGATCCGCAGCTGCACGATCGTGCCCCTGCGTGTTTCACTTCTTATTCCAATCTTTGACTCACTTTCTTATCTAGCACGTTCTACCTCGACCGAACGTGCCTTCCTATTATGGTTATACCCTTTACTGATTGCCTCTCCCGGTAGTACGAGTTATCACCCACTAATATGTCTCCTGTCCTCTATATAAACTCGCTACCATGTACTATATTTGTTACGACTTGGATGGTATCTGTTGGCGACGCTCAAACAGAGCGTGTGTCGTCAACGGTCGAGGACGTCCTTGGGCTAGCCCAAGGTTAGGAGTCGTACTTGGCGGGTCTTCGGCAAGTACGATTTTGACGCCTATGTCCAAATCAGGTAGCTTATGTCACGCGGGTGCGAGACGATAAGCTATATCGGCCTAGGCTTACGACACCCGAAGGTTAATCGTAAGGATCATTGTTAATTTAGAAGGACAGAAGTCCGACTAGTTAACAGGGGCTTTGCTCGTCGACGAAGTCGATGAGTAAAGGTCGAGACTATAGGCTTATCCGCGAAGAGCAGATAAGAAGATAGAATATAGACTGCTGGCGAGGCAGAAGGATCACTCTGGTGAGAGTAGGAGGTCAAGAACCAAGTAGATTCAAGTTAGGGAATATAGTACATGGTAGCGAGTTTATATAGAGGACAGGAGACGTATTAGTGGATGATAACTCATACTACCGGGAGAGGCAATCAGTAAAGGGTAAGACCATAACAGGAAGGCACGTTCGGTCTAGGTAGAATGTGCTAGATAAGAAAGTGAGTCAGAGATCGGACTAAGAAGTGAAACGCGCAGGGGCACGATCGTGCAGCTGCGGATCTAAGTATAAGTCGCATGTGCGACTGCGCACCGAGTCAGAGATCAAGAAAGGGAACAGGGCAAAGGGGATGCGTCGTGCATCATGTCATAGGTTACCGTCCAGACGGTAAGGGCAAGGGGACTGTCCGCAGGATCAGTCAGGTGGTGAAACGGAGCACGGGTATGCTTCGTCAGCGAAAGGCTCCGGCCAAATGTACTGGCTTTGCTGAAGCGACAGGTAGAGGGCGAAAGGGAATGCAAGGATGACGAGGATGACAAGGGTAAGGTCGGGGTAAGGGTATGATGCGAGGGCTGATACGAGGAGGATTAGGAGAAAAATAGTAGGGGCCCAAGCGTCTAGATGTTCTTGTAACAATATTCCCTAACTTGAATCTACTTGGTTCTTGACCTCCTACTCTCACCAGAGTGATCCTTTCTGCCTCGCCAGCAGTCTATATTCTATCTTCTTATCTGCTCTTCGCGGATAAGCCTATAGTCTCGATCTTTACTCATCGACTTCGTCGACGAGCAAAGCCCCTGTTAACTAGTCGGACTTCTGTCCTTCTAATTAACGACGATCTTACGATTAACCTTCAGGTGTCGTAAGCTTAGGCTGATTTAGCTTATTGTCTCGCACCCGCTTGACATAAGCTACCCAATTTGGACATAGGCGTCAAATCTTACTTGCCGAAGCCTCACCAAGTAAGACCCCTAACCTTGGGCTAGCCCAAGGACGTCCTCGACTGTTGACGACACACGCTCTGTTTGAGCGTCGCCAACAGATACCATCCAAGTCGTAACACCTGCGCTAGAGGCTCAACCGAACTTCGAATCAGCAGCGTACCAGGACTGGCTCAATGCCCTAACAGATGGAGGTGCGACTAGGGAAGAAGCCCTTGCACAGATGGCAGAAGGCTGGAAACTGGAGCGCCAAGAGCGGGTTGACCGGTGGCATCAGCAGATGGAAGAAGAGGATTGTGAGTCACAAGAGCGCATAGATCGTGAGAGAGCCGCAAAGAAAATTGAGGAGCAAGAAGAGCGCCATGAAGTGGAGAAGAAGAAGCCCAAAATCAATGACTTCGACACTGAAATGGCTGTGGCGGATGTCATCATTCCCAGGCCGTCCCAATACGCCATTCAGAAGGTCAGAAACATGGAGTAC